TATTTTTTAGGTTCAATAAAGATCCAATGGAATCAAGCAAATGAAACTCAAGCCATTCATACAATAAAATTTTTATTGGTTGAGGCCAAAGATAGTATTTGTAATAAAAATAAGTATGAATTCTTTGAAATAAAGACTTTAACACTTATTCTTTAATGTTCAATATTAATTAAACATCCTGTATTAAGGCGTTTAGTATATGCCTAGCATATGCTATATTTAAAAACTTAGCATATACATACTTAGAACGTACTATCAAATTAAAGTAGATACCTGTTGCATACTGTACACATACTTGAAGTACATTCTCAATATCTGCATAGCACGTATAAACAACGTCACGTAGCATATGCTTAGCATATTCTGAGAATGTACCAAATGCAAATACAGTATATTCTCAGCATATGCGTATTCTTAAAAAGTATATACTAAGAATATGCTAAGAATGTATAATTGTTATCTGGGCTTGTAATATGGGCTGCCAAATTAACTATAATACATCGCGTCATCTATCATCCAAGGTAAAAAACACATGCAGTAAAATATAGTTTGCCACTGGAGAAATTAAGCAGTCATATTTGCCTTCCTGTAAATACGTTATCTGTTGTTCTATTAAATGAACGATTGCAGAATTTGTAAGGATTTGTTTAAAATTGATATATTTCAGTGATTTCAATGATATTTTTTCACTATTATGAAATGTAAGGTCAGTATTTAATCTCTTTAAATAAATAAAAAATATATATTTTTGTTTATATTTTAATATGGGCTAGCTCTGTGCTACAAATATGGGTTAGACCATAGCACACCTTAACTGGAAGCTCATTGTAATTAATATTTTTTATTTGTGGTCAGATCAGTTCAAAATCCCGAAGGGTCAAATCGCCAGATGGATTGAACGACTTCAAGAGTACGACTTTAAGAGTCGGATTAATACACAGAAATGCTGATCCTCTTTCTAGAATACCATGCCCAGCAGAGTGCTCTCACTGCAACAGAGCAAAATCCAAAGAAAGTGGACTACTAAGAACCACTGCAGTTAACGATGAGTAAGCCACTACTAAAATTGGGGAAGAACAGGAGAACGATACCGTTTTAAAGAAGATGCGACAATGAAAAGAGGAAAATCGTCGACCTACTTGGCAAGATTCTCCTTCCAGTAGTTAACTCATATTCTGGAAGAGGATTTATTAAAGCGAGCACTAGAGAATGATGGTTCCAAAGACTAGGGTAGCCTAACTACTTCGTCAGTTACACGACAGTCTATCAGGAGGATATCTTGGTGTTACGAAAACCATTTAGAGAGTTCGTGAAAAGTTTTATAGGATGAACAGTTCCGATGATGTAAAGGACTGTACCACCTGTGCTATGAGTAATGGACCTCAACGAAAAAGGAAGGTCTCCATGAAGCAATACAACGCGTCGGTAGGATGGTAATAAATACATGATGGTGGCACGAAGTGGGTAAAATCAAGCGGCCCGAATTGCAGACGTGTTAATAAAAGAATGTATCAGTAGATTTGGAGTGCCCCTGAAGATCCACAGTGACCAAGGAACATATTTTAAAGGCCAGATTTTCCGAGACATCTGTGATAGACTATGCATGAAGAAAACCAGAACCCATAGTCGGATGAAATGGTAGGAAAAATGTCGTGACATCGTCTGAAGCCGACTCTTTTGTTTGTTTACTACCGTACTCGCGACAGGAAGTCTAGCGCCCGCCTCGAGACTCGAGAAACCGAATCGAATGTTTCGTATTGCAGTCTGACGCGTAGAGGATAATTTCCAGACCTTTTAATCAGAGTTGGTTATTTCTAGAGTGTTTTATTTTTGTATAAATGGCGGGACTTGGTCGATAGATGTTAATTTTCAATATAAGTGTTGTATAACTAAGATAAATTGCAATAAATAAATTAGAATGGTGCGTTATAATAGTGCCTAAAAGTGTTTGTAATAAATAAACATTATTATAAGAGTAAATTTTAATAACAGTTCTAAGAATGAGATTTCAGACCTCGACGATGACTTATCTATTGCGTATTTGTTTTTTGTTGACTTATAAATTTGTAATTTTGAAATTTATTGTTTATTATTTATTATTGAACATTTAAATTAAAAAAAAAAATTAAACTCGTGTCGGAAAATGCTTGAGCAAAGAATACCTACCCAAGAAGCGAAACTGAATGAGTTTTCGTATGTACTAAAGCAAGGGAACTTAATACACTGGGAAACGTATAAAAATTAATCAGTTTTGTCGTTTGGTTCATAAGAATTAAACACATAATAAAGTAACAATGACAGAAAAATCTTACTATGTTCATTATGTCAAATATATTATTTTAATAACGAAATAAGTACTGTAGGAAACAGTCACTACACAATAGCGCAAGTTGATCACGGTCATTCTGCAAATAGGGAATTTTGTGAACAATTATGGAACAGTGATGCAAGGACCATTCACTGTCTATCAATCCCAAGAAGACAGAAATAATCCTTTTCACAAGGAAATGATGAAAATGGAATTAAAACCTACAGATTTCCTAAACACAAAACAAAACTTTGCAACAGAAGTGAAGTATCTAGGTAACACCTTTGACAACAAGTTAACATGGAACTCACAATTAGAAAACAGAATCAACAGAGCATACAGTACTTATGAACAATGCCACCAAACCGTGGGGTGCACCTGAGGTTTCTTTCCCAGAGTCGCCACATGGACTTACATGACCATCATACGGCCTATGGTAACATACGGTGCAGTTGTCTGGGGTACCGAAAATCCAAAAATTGACAGCTCTCCGCAAAATAAAACAAATTCGAATAACAGCATGTTTCAACATAACAGGAACTATGAAAACCACACCAACCAGAGCCATGGATGTAGTTCTTAGTCTCACTCCCCATGATATTTACATCAAGGACAATGACACGCCTATGCACAGTTGGAATAGAATCTGACGTACGATCTGGTGAGGCGAGTGAGGTGAGTTGTTTTTGGCAAAAGGCGCTTGATACGCTCCAACTGCTTCAAGCGAACATGAACCTTATCTCACCGAGTTATATCTTCCATAAGCCATACGAAGTTATAACAAAACAAATAGAAGAGCCGGAAGTGGCAGGTACGATACATATCTACACAGACGGTTCTAAAACAAAACAATGCTCAGGGTGTGGAATATATTCCAATTCCTTAAACCTCAACATAAACTGCGCAATAGTGCCAATGTAGTTCACGGAGGTTCTCATAGCAGCAAAAGAAATCGCTGATAGGAACATACTCATCCATACAGATAGCAGAAAAGCACTACTTACCCTGAACAGATTATGAATTTACTCAGGGTTAGTACTAGAATGTCAGGAAGCTTTGGCAAGGGTATCCATCCAAAATGGAGCAAAGGTGACGCCACAACGAAAGGTGGCCTTATTGCTGATTCACTAGCCAAGATGGCGGCCAACCAAATACTTTTTGGATCTGGCCCTTCTATTGGACTGACAACATCGGTAGTGACAGAACTTGTGAAATTGAAGGAAAGATGGAATGAAACAAGAATTTGCGGAGTTACCAGGGAGATTTTAAGTTATACTGACAACACTATAACAAACAAATACTTGACTATGATTAGACAGAATCTGCGTCTGATCACATGCATTCTGACTAGTCATTGCCAAGTACGGAAGCATCTCCATATCATGGGACTGTCAGAATTCGTACCCTGCAGGGGGTGCAAACAAAAAGATGAAACCGTTGAACATATCCTCTACGATTGCCAGTCGCTCTCATTTATTAGACGACGATTTGTTTTCGGCGCGTATTGGCTAACATCGGCCGATATAAGAGAAGCACCTCTTGGTGACGGTGTCAACTACATTAAATGTGTAGGCTGGCTCATGAGATGCCTATCATTTTCTGAGAATACACAATGGGCATAGTGAGGCCTAAGTGCCGTGGGATAACCCGCCCTCTACACGTTACATATCTAGAAGTACTGTAGGTAGCTGTAAATGCATTTCGATTGCATTCTGATAGCAGCGACTTGGTTTCTCGAAGTGAGTTTGTCATATTTTTTAATTATTGTTTTTTATTATTGTTTATTTACTGTTTTAATTTGAATGATTTGAAAAACAAAAAAAAATAACATATTTAAATAAAAGAGTAAGAAATTAAACGATGCATAATACGTAGGCGTAAATTATCATTATAGGTAATACTGATTTAGAAATTAGAACAAAACATTGACAGCCAGATGCAAGAACGTTCAATAAAATTTACGAATAACGAAATGTATTTTTTTTTTCTTGTAATTTAAATTTTAAATCTATCTAATTTCTAATTACTACTTAGTTAAATACAACTACTTTACTATACTGCAATTTTCACAAAACGCTAATAATAATATACCAAACGTTGCTCTGGTTGCTCTACATAAATTGACAGCTATATTTGACGTTAAACCACCTCTAAAACACTGAGAAAACTTGGCAGTTTTTTGTCCACGAATCGCCCATTTAGTTTCGCTTCTTGGGTAGGTATTCTTTGGCTTGAGATCGGACCTGTTTTTCTGGCCGACACAGCATACCGACGGCTGACAGCGGCGCGCTTCATAAGACCTCACAGTGTGTCTCGCAGCATAGAAGACTGACAGAGTCATATATCGCTTTATATTGAACAAAATTCGATAAAGATATTGGACTAAAAAGAATATTATCTTAAAAAAATTATTTAATATAGTTCCAACTTTCTTGTGGAGAGTTTGTTGAATTTGAGTATAATGTTTGTTCAATTAAAAAATGTTCTCTTGAATTATTTTGGCAGCTTTTCTTATATACCAGAAACACAAATTATATACGGATCACTGAGACAACAACGTGAAAACTCCTGCGATGACGTCAAATATCCCAAAATTTCCCTAATTAGTGAACTAATTAATAATTATTCTACTTGTTATTCGAAACAATTAATGTAATACAATCAGTTAATTATTGTTTGCATTTGTTTTCAGTACGGAACAGCTGCCGACGGCGGTATCAGGAGCGGGCTCGGCCCGAACGTCTGCCTCCTGCAGCTTGGCGTCTTCGAGAGAGTCTTCCACGAGCGCACCTGGACCGACGCCGTACAAAGTGCTCATGTTAGGAGGGCCGGCGGTGGGAAAGTCGTCTTTGGTGTTGCAGTTTATGACGTCAGAATATCTACACGCTTATGATACTAGTATAGGTGAGTAGAAAATTAAATAGTTCTTTCCATCATCCATCCGTTAGTGTCAAAAAAAATATAATAGTATATTAGGAGTAGAAGGCGCTTATTATGTGTTGAGTTCAGAAGTTTACTGCCGATGCGCTAGCCAAGACAGTGTTGTAATCTGAGCGAAACATATAATAATGGAGCCTTCTTTTCCGAGTAATGTATACTATTTTTTCAAACGTAAAGATAATTCAAGTTATACGTAGCAAAAAATAGAAGGCATTGTTTATGTCTCAACTATTTATTAACACAATTAAAAAAAAAATAAAAAGAAACATAATATTGTTAACGATTTAATAAATATAATAACCTTTGTTGCTAAATAAATATCATTCGGTGTATCGAAGAAATTTATTAAATTGGTCTTTTTCAATATTTTTGGATTTTTTCGGTCTATAATTTTCCCCTTGTCCCCTAGTCGACGTTCGACATTCGACAAACTGTTAGTACTAAGTACTAAGTACTCAGTAACGTCTTGCTCCGTTATGGGAATAGCAGGTCTATAATTAGTGTCTTTTTTACAAATTTTTGGACCGATTTCTTGTAATAAATATTCAAATTCACTTTCCAATGTTCGAAAAAAATTTATAAAACCACCATTATACCAGAATTCAAGGCTCAATATGTTGACGTCATCTTTTTTTAAATATTCAATCAAATTACTAGCGTTGTATCTAGTTCTAGTATGAAGACTTGGTCGAACCCAAAATCTTCTTTTTTCTACAAGTTTTCTTTTTTTAGTCGCGATAATATATGCGGCACAAGCAACTATAATGTCATCTTCGTCAGATATGTTAATTTCGACTAATCGACAAACATTTCTGCCAACTCTGGTGTGGACAGATGCAGTTTTGTAGACTTGGTGATCAACCATGTCGATAGACAGAGTCGATCGGCAGTGTTGATTTGGTGACGATGCACCTTAAGACAATTCACGATCTCGTCGACTGTGAGATTCGTTACACTCTTATTCAGCAGTTTGGATAGAAGCAGTTCGACCACCCGCCGTACAGTCCTGACCTGGCGCCATAGGACTATCACTTGTTCTTACACCTAAAGCGAGAGCTTGGTGGTAAATGCAGTGTTGCCAATTATGCGCAAAAACCGCAACTTTTGCGCTTTTTGTCTATGTGTTGCGTTTTTATTGCGCTCTCCACTTTTTTGCGCCTTTTTGCGATTTTTACCTGCAAAGGCGACTGGTAATGACATTTTATATTTTTCCTTTAACTCTTATAAATACCGAATTTTGATACTCAAAACAGATAAATATACTTTAAATAAAAAATCATTCTAACGGGGTAGGTAGCTCAGTGGTAGAATCTCTGCCTGCGGATCCAAGGATTCCGAGTTCGAACCCCACCGTACTGAATATAGAGTGATTACTTGTGAATTATCATAACATGCTCTCCTCTATTTTGTGATTTTAAATCATATTTGAGGCAATATCTTTGCTTTTTTATGTTGGCAATAAAGTTGCGCTTTTTGATCAAAAATTGCGCTCTTTATGTTGTTTTGCGCTATTGGTTTCTATGGTATTGGCAAAACTGGGTAAACGTTTCCAAAGTGAAACTCGGTGTGCAGCAATGGTTCACAACACTGGCGGCATCGTTCTATGAGGTAGGACTAGATAAGTTGATTGACCGCTACAAGTGCCTCAACAACGGAGGAAACTATGTGGAAAAGTAGTTTAAGATATGCTCTTTCTTGTGACAATAAAATTGTTTAAAAAAAAATATATTTTCTATATTTTTTCTGAAAACGGTACTTAATTTCCGGATACGCCTCGTACAACTATCGCAAGGGATATAATAATTTAAAAACAATACAAGAATTAGTTATAAAAATCCAATATAAAATAAATTTAAAAAAAAAATACAATATCAAAGTATTAAAAGTGGTAATTATAAATAAAAAAAAGTATAAAGTTTGTTAGTGGTCTATTTTCAAAGAAATATATGGAAATCCTATAGGAAAAATTGTACAATCTACATAAGCTACATATTATTATATTTAAATGACAACATGTATGTCACCAAATTGAATTAATGTTATTTTAATACTACATACATATGGGGCATTCCATGCCAAATCGGACCCCATTTAGCTTTTGCATCTTAGATTTTTTTGAAACTTTTCTGTTTGGGTATAAGTTGAAAGAGGCCTCCATGATTTTTTTTTTCAAATTTTTTTCTCCAACGTTTTCAGGATCTTGATTTTTGAATACTGTGATTATCTTCACTCGTAAATATCTTGGATCTAATAATAGTTTGGCCTGATTATACTCTTCATTCGAAAAAAATTAAATATTCATATTTGGTAAAGAATTTGGTTTTTTCTCCTATTCATATAGTTCTAGAGGAATGGAAATTTGTTGGTCATATGAAAGATGAAGACTCGATCGTGTTGCCATCCTCTTGAAAGTTCCCCCTACTCCGTCACAAGGTTCTTTGCCATGACCGGTTGGAAAGTAATGCCATTTAGCTTTAATTTCAAAGTCTTCTTCAGTATCAATGAGATTTACAAAAATTTTATTGAGGTGTTCCGTCGGAAAATTAAATAATTTTTGAGACATTGTTGGAAAGACTTTTGATAAAATTAGTGGTAATTCTTGTTAACTCATGAACGGCAACTGCATCATGAGATAAACAATCTGATACGATTACTACACATTTATGAACCAGCTCATTTTTTTTTTTTTATAATAAATTACAACTGGTTAAACAGTTTCCTGGCTGTGTTATTCCAATAGAGTCCAGATGCAGCATTCTAAATAACAAAGGCATAATTTTCCACAAAATCACAGATAACAATGTACTCATTCTCATTTAATGAGACCTGAAATATTTTGCTTATTCTTTAGCGATGTAATGATGGGGAAAAAGACTGTCGACGAAATCTGATGATTTTTTACAAATGCCTCCAGGCTCGTAGGAGGTTTTGAAATCCAATATTTATAACTAATTTCATCAATTCCATTTTCATCTAATACGTCTAATAGTAAGTCCTTTAAAGTTTGTATAGGACACTTATCACAGTCTTAAAAATAACAATTAGAGGTGGGATTCCGACATATGATTATTTTAAAACAGTCACTATATGTTTTTAATGGCGTTGTTCAGTAAGTGCCGCTAAGTTACAACCTGCAACGGAGGAAATCATGAGTTATTTTGACAAATATTTTTTTAGTATTTAGCTTACTTAACATCATAAGCTTGACGTCTAGAAACGTGACAAACAACTAACAAAAGTGTAAAGCACAAACGTTTTGACGTTTCGGTATTCTCTACTTGCAGTGTTGTTCCTATTTGAAAAAAGTAAAGCGCTTTCAAAAAGTTACACATGAGTAGCGTTTTGACGTTCGCACTTCAAGCTTTGTCATTTAAGGCTAAGATTTTCGGAGGTAGATAAGTCAAACAATAAAATATATACCTAAATACGAGTATTATGACTTGAATATTAAAATGTCAGCAAATGTATGATGTTTATTATGTTTTTGTTACCTTCTTAAACCTTTTTCAGATGTTGAACTCCATTTTGCTTTAAAAAAGAACACTAATACTTTTCCAAGAGTCGATGATATCCACTACCCAATGTTGACTAACTTGTCAACTGCTGGTAAAGCTGCTTTGTTGGCCATATATAATAGTATATGGCGTGGTAGGGCAGAGATACCCAGTGATTGGCATGTTTATATTATCCTACCTATTTTGAAACCAAGAAAATCTTCAAAAAACTGAGACTCTTATCGTCCAATAGGTGTTGCTTCATGCATACTTAAAACATATGAGAGACTTATTAAGACTCGTATGGAATTCTGGCTAGAAAAAAACAATAAATTATCAAAAACTCAATTTGGTTTTAGAAAAGGAAAATCTACTCAAAAGAGTCTTGGACATTTATTAGCAGATGTTTACAATGCCCTCACATTTCGTAAATCAGTTAGTGCTTTATTTTTAGATATAAAGGGAGCATATGATAGCGTAAATCTATATATATTCTCTATAAAAAGATGTCCGAAATGGGTATTCCAGCTACAATTATACATAATATAATTAGTTTATACGTTAATAGAGAAGTATATAAAAGAATAAATAGGGATAAAACTAATTCTCGTTATACATCATTAGGACTTCCGCAAGGCAGTATTTTAAGTCCGCTTTTGTATATATTATATACTGCAGATTTAGAAGAACAATTTCCAGAGCACATAAGAATTTTATAGTACGCCGACGATATTGCAATTTACGTGGAAAGTAAGTCGATAGATAAATGTAATGAACTCCTCGAAGAAGCATTTATTGTCACAACAAATTGGGCTAGAAATAATAATTTTGCTATTTCAGAAAATAAGTCGTCAGTCAAAACATTGTAATCCTCCTAATTATGTACAGTTTGAATACAGTATCTTGCCTTATAAAACTTCAGTTAAATTTCTTGGTTTATATTTAGATTACAAATTGAACTGAAAAGTACACATAAATTACATTTTACGAAGGACTGAAAATGTTATGAATATTCTCAAGACTGTAAACGTTAGTGATTGGGGAGCAGATCCAAATATTTCTTTATTATTATTTTAAAATCTAATTAGATCTATCTTGGATTATGGATCAATATTCTATGGCTCTGCATCAAATTCCACAATTCAAAAAATTGAACGAATAAAATATAAAGCTTTAAGACTATACATTGGTTATCTGCCTAGCACACCTATCAAGGTTATGGAAGCGGAACTTTGTGAGCCCTCAATAATTTTACGCAGACAATTTTTAGGAATTAAATTTATAGTCCTTTTAGTTGTAAGTGGTAAAACATTGCTAAATAAAATTGTACAATTAACTACCAGCTGCTTAACACATCAATATTGGAAAAAGAAAAAAGTGCTATTATTTGTAGAAAGTTTTCTTGATTATTAAAATATATTTACCGGAATTAATCCAAAAGAACACATGTCATATTTAAAGTTAAATTAC